TATCGTTGCCGCTGCGAGCTAGTAACTCCTTTAGTTCACCGTTCTCCATGGCATTTAGCATCGCTGCGGCTGTTTGGCCTGCCGCCAGCATCTCACCGGAGCCCGCCACATCAGCGCTCAGCTCATCCTTTCGCAGATTACTTACGCCATGGTTCACCGTGAAGTGCGCATAGTCGGCTGCATGGTGGGCTTTGTTGTTGTGCAGTGCTGCTGGATTGCCGAACGGATAAGAACCCTCGACTCCATCAAATCCTCCACCGCCGACGCTCTCGTCTATCAGATCGCCACCATACTGTACGGAAGACTCCACGAGTCTGTCGACGTCATTGCCATTTCCATTGCCATTTTCCTCCAGCATGTTGTTCTCGTACATGCCTGAGTGCGGCTGGTTTGCTTCGTCGGGCATGAAATCGATTTCCTTGAGTTCAATTTGCGGCGGCAGCTCACCTATCACTGGCACACCAATCGACATTTCTGGCAATATGGCTGGCTGTATGATGACGTCTGGCGTCAGTGAGGGCGCTGCAGCCGCTGAAAATGTGGTTGTGGGACCAGCACCTGAGGACTGCTCCACTTCCACCACCGACTCGGCAATGTAGGTAACGTCTAAAGGGGGTGCCTCATCGCCTTGATTGCGAAATATCTTAAGTGAATCGGCGGTGTTGCGTAGTGGCGAAAGAATTATGTCTTCTTCATAGTGATGCTGTTGCGGTGACAGCGACAACCGTTCGTCCATGCTGGCAGCGTTCGGACGTGTGCTGGCTAAGTAGTTTGCCGGAAAGAATTGATTTTCCAATCTGGTTTTCCGCAACTGTTGCTGCTGTTGTTGTTGCTCATAATCTGTATTTGCGGTGGGTAGAGACTCGCCCACCTTTACTTCGGTGTTGGAAATGTAAAAAATTGTGTCCGAGTCGCGATCTATGGTCGGCTTACGCGGCGGAGGAGGTGGGGGCAAAGGTGGTTTTGGCAGCGCATTCTCTCGCTTTAGGTCTGCCAAGAAGAGTTCGTCGGACATTTGTGGCGGTTTCACTTTGACCTCAGGTGGAAAGTATTTGATATCCTTCAGCTCAATATCCGAATCGGAATCTGAGCGAAATGTAAATATCGGATTGGCATTTTCAGCACTAACCGCACCCTCAGTGCTATTGTCGCCGGTATCGATTATCTCTACAACTAAAATCTCATCGCCACGTTGAACGTTTTCTCGAGCAGCGGAATCATTGCTGCCCGAAGAAAGTGGCTTCATCGAAATAGCTTTAGCGGTTTTGGCCATCAGTTCATCTATGGGGTTGGTTCTTGAGCTGCTGCCTGTGTAATCTGGCTGCCGATATGAAAATTCTAAATCTTCGCTCTCATTGCCGATGCCCTCAGATACGTTAATATGTATCTCGATTGCTGCTGGTTCGGGCTTACCGAAGGCCACACTTAAATGTGGGGCCACACTTGACTCCTGTGTGGCATAGTCGGCCCTGTCCACTACATATTGGGTGAAGCGTTCCTGCGGCGCAGCTGGTGGCTTAGTTGTGCCGCCGTGTGCATCCGCCTCAGCTTCCAGTGGTAGGGCGTAAAAGCCATCGCTATCCTTGAAATTTGTGGATGATACAATGGAGTCCACTGTGGAATCGTAGACTTCCACTTGAATGTCAGATATTTTTGACTCCGTTCGCTCATCGCCCAACCTCTTGGGAGTGCTGGAAAATGCTCGCGACTGTTGCTGCTTCTGCTTATGTTGCGATAGTTTTGATGTTTTTTCCTCACCTCCGTGCGTGGTTTTCGTGCTCAACGGCAGACGTGTGGTGCTGATCAATGTCTCTGGAACCTGGAACACAGTCGTAGAAAACATGGGTGTACTCTTTTCCGAAGGTACGTGTACAAAAGTGGTTGAAACAGGCGCTGGCGTTGAAGTTGTTGCGCTTATTGGATCGCTTTTCACCGCTCTATTCAATGTCATCGCCGGCGCAGCAGTGGTTTGCTCCACCAGTGCGGTGGGCGCAAGGATCTCCACAATGCGGCCGTCACGCAGTTGTGATTCTATGGTGGACTCGTGGTGTTGTTGTGGTTTCAGGTTTGCGTGCTTAACCGTAAACCGCATCTCCTCCATGAGAATGGGACCCAAATAGCCATTGTGTACTGGTCTTAGCGTGGGTGTGGCTGCCGTAGAGTTTTCTATATTTGCTCTTTGGTGTGGTGCGGATGCAGACGTTGGTGCTGGTGTGCTGCTAGTGGAAATATTTTTCACGCCAATGTTCGGCATTGTTTTCGTCAACACATCACTTCCGCCGTTATTGCCATTTTCGGTGGCTTTGTTTGCGCTCTTTAAATCATCCACAGTGTCAACAAGCGATGTTTTTATTGTCCCGGGGGCGGTCATATTTTCAACATGAAATTCCTCGCTCACACTGAGATCAGGCACGAGCAAGTAATGTTTATCGGTTAGTTGCTTCTTTCTTGTTTTCTTGACACCATCATGGCCATCATCATCGTCCGCGGCGTCAACATCGCCACTCTTGCTGCCGTTGCGTAATTTTTTCGCCTTCGAAATCGATTTTAAATCATGTTTTTCCAAGTCAATAAGTTTTATGATGCCATCACTATCGCTCGTACCTGAATTGTTTGCGTCTGTGCCTCTGCTGGTATCCTTTACGTCGCCGTGTCTGCCAATATTGGCTTCATCGTTTTGTAGCTCTCCCTCCGACTCGTTTCGCTTGGCTTCGCGGTTATCAGACACATCGTCAATAAAAATGATGCCGCTGTCCGTGCTTACCTCCGCTGTTGTTTGGATTGTCTGCACACTTTTTGTTGTACCAACAGATGGGTGTTCAGGTTTTTTAGTCGTAGTTGAAATTGAAGTAGTTGCCTCTTGCAGCATGTCCACACTGGTTGTCGCCGTGCTGACGTTCATCTTGGGTAGCCTTATTGCAGCGGTTGTGTTGCGCGCTGGTGGAATGGGCGTTTGAGGCAGATTATCGCCAACGATGACGGAGCTCATTTCCATTATTGCGCTGACGGTGACAGAATTACCGTTGTATGATGTTGGTACTGTCGAAGTACTTTGACTGACACCAGCAACTTCATCAGCTATCGGAAATTCGATGGTTGTTGTTGGCATTGTTTTTGCTGTTTGATGCTTGGTGTTGTTGGTAGGAAGTGCGCTTGTAGCTGTTGCGGCTGCTGTAGTTATTTGTTCTGTTGCTTTTATCGTTGCCGTTATCGCCTTTGGCAACGTTTCAATTTGGATTGCAATCATCGGCGCATTTGCTGTAGTCGCCGAGATTGGCTTTGTCGTAACTGCCAATGCTGATGTAGTTGCTGCTGTTGTATTTGGTGCTGCTGTTCTTGGTGCCGGTATGGATATTTCTTTAGTAGTTGACGCTGCTGTGGTGTCATGTAACTCCATAAATGCGGTCGTTGCAGTCAGTTCTTCTGCGGCTCTCTTGTCGTCTACTTCCGTGCCACTACCCCGGAAGCTTTTTAGCTCCGCAGCCGCACCTGACTTCTCAATGGGGCTTCCCGCTGTAATCCTGCTGACTGCAGCATTCGTAGGTGCCAAGGTGACTGCTGTTGCCGCCTCCGTGGATCGTGGCAAGTTGCCAGTTGCCGCAGACACAATGGCGCCCGGCGTGCTTACCTCGTCGTCGTTGTCGTTGTCGTCGCCGTTGAGTGCGTTGCGATGGCTGCCAACTAGCGATGGCGCGTTGGTGACGATAACGCTTTCTGAGGGCAATGCGCCCTCGCTTGACTTTGCGATATTTGCTGTGACTGTAGTCGCGACTTCTGTACTTTGCTCAAAGTGCTGTTCACTCTCAACTGTAGTCGGGTTTGTAGTGTGTGTGGTAAGTATAGGTATATCGGTGCTTGTGGTTATAGTTTCGACCAATCGACTAGGCAAAACTGTTGTGGAGCCTGCAATAGGCGCTTCCGTTGAACTCATGGATGCGACCTGTGTCTTCAATACCCTCACCTTACCTTTCTCCCTCTCCTTGGCCGCGTGTTGCCATTTTTTTCCATAATGTAATTTATATGATTTGCCTTTCAGTTTCGGCACATTTCCTTTGCTGCCGAGCTCATCAATGTTACGGCGCTCTGTGATTGCGCTTGCAGCCGCCTCAACCTTGGCAGTCGTGGCTTTTGCAGCCGCCGTGGTGCTCGTGCTGGCGTGCAGTGTTCTTGGCGTGATGCCAATTTCCGCCGACGTTACTATCAGCGTGGGTGTATTGCCCTCAACGCTGACCGTCAAATGGTGAGTGGGCGCTGTGTCGCCATGCCTTGCCTGCAACAGCAACGTTGCACACAGCCATATACCGGCTAATATACTACTGTTTACCAATAACCACCTTGCCATTTTGCTTTGAAAAACCACTTAAACTTGCTTTTTGTTGCCCAGCTGCTCTCGCCTTAATTTATTCTTTTGCAGTTCCACCCTACTCGTTTCGCCTACAGTTTATGAACTCACACAACTTGCTTGAAGTGCCGCGTACATTGTTGCCCCCATTTCTGTTAGAAGGAAATTACAAAAAAAAACCACACAAAGTGCGCGCCACATTAGTGTTGCAAGGTCGTTGGCGCGGTGCGCGTACGTTGCGCAACTCCTCCACCCCAATGATGGCTGTGCCAGTTGAGATAAAGTTTTCAACGCTGTAATGCGCGCGACAATGGCACCACCACTAACAACAAGCGCAACAACTGCAGTGCAGGGCGTTACTTTTTTTTCTATTACCCTCTATTTTGTTAATGTTTTTTGAGTCAGGCGAACGAAAATGAAAAAAAAAAAAAAAAAAAAAACGACTGATGCACTGAGTATTCTAGAAAAGTTTCCAAGTTCGTTATACACTCGTTTCGTTTTCGGCAATGGTGTTGTGGCGTATGCGGCGAATGCGTGCGTCCGTCCTTTTGTACGTGCTGCGCAAACTTTCTCGCCAGTTTATAAAACACGGCGCTGCGTTTGTCGATAAAGTCGCCGTTCTCTATGCAACGGTCTTAAGTATTGGACTCCGGTGAGAAGATGCTATGGCGTATTGCGAGTGCTGCTTGGTGGTACACGCGTCTGTGAACAAGAAAGGAATAGAATTGTTGAATAGTTAGTGTGAGAGGTAAAAAACGAAATTAGCAACAGAAAATTCAATTTGAATATAAATATGTATTTAAAAAAAATAGGTGAACAGTTCAACTGGGAACATTTATTTAGTTGGGTAAAATTGCATTGAAAGACGTTGTATAAGTAAAAGCACACCAATGTGTGTATATATGTATGCATATTCACATAACTACGATACCACCATTTTAAAAATCGCAATATCTATACTCGTATCAAAGGGACACACCTGTACTTCAACGCCAATTCTGAATATAGTTTTATGAAAAGTTTTTTTTTTTTAAACAGAAACTCGTCAGCCTAACGGTATCCATTAATAGAAAAAAGCCTTTTTATCGAATAATATATAAGCAACACCTTTTTTTTTCAATTTTTAATTCGACGATACAAATGCAAATGTATCGCCGCAGACCTCCCTTCAGAAGTGCATATACAAACAGTGTCATCATTCCATTATGTGTAGTGTATGTATAATGAAAATATTCATTTTTCACTTGATTTAAATACGAAAATTTTTAAACGGTAATCAAATAAAAAATTCTTATTTTTATAATTACAATTATAGGGTTAGGGTAGGTCTATTGTGCCCCCAATTATAGGGTTACCCCAAAACGAAAAAAATGTACAAAAAATTTCAAACGTTATAAATAAATTTTCACCAAAATTCAAAATTTTTTATATTTGCAATAATTTTAGCTATGGAGTTTTTTAGCGTATTACGTCTTAGTGCAAGTTACAAGAAGCTAAGAAATCTCATCGATTTTAAATAGTTTTTTTTTTTTTGTTGACATTTCGAGCACATTGTATATATGTATGTGGAAGGAAATGTTTACCACCGCTTATCAAATCGGTTAAGAATTCGAAGCTCTACGCTATTTTGTACCCCACTTTTTCATTACAGACCACTGTGAGCCGGCCAATTGCTACTAAAACAGCCCATCGTATTTTGCAAAAGAGAAAAGACGCATTTGAAAAGGATGTTTAAGGTAGTGCGTAATCAACGCTCTTAATTTTACGATGAATCATTCAGCGTCTACTAACGGAAAATTACATAAATGCTCCTGAAAACGCCACGACAAAGGAATCTGGTGGAACTAAAAATGTGCACACTATCGTAATCCACATTTTTTTGGTATTTTTCCTCAGGTTTAATTTAGTGGCGCCAAAGAAAAGACTTGTTTGCTCAGTGCATTCATCAACGCACAACCACTCGATGTTCTGAGCTCTAGATTTTGCCTCGATACATAAATTACTTGCAAAAATCGATGTCGATTTCGCAGCCCCAATTCGCTATTCCGTATACGGAACTATAGTATGCGCAGTTAGGCATAGTAAGTAGTTGCTGTTAACCTGAAAACTCTTCAAACCGTGGAACATCCATCGGAACAGCCAGCAACCAGTTCATTAGGATATCTTACGTGAGCATTTTAAAATATTTTTTATGATTGTTCCGGACAAAGTAATAAACATTTTTTTAATAATAAATTTGCCCACTTATAGCAGAGAATAATTTTATGTTTCTTATTTTTACAAGCTACAAAGCAGGATTCTCCATATTGATGTGGAGATAGATGGTATTGATGGATGGGTTGACTAGTCATATAAGAGTACATACTATGTATTTTCACCTTTGCGCCGATATAACAGAATATTATCTCCCATGCCATAAGACTGGTTTTAACTATGTCATATTTTGACACCAAAATTTGCCGACATATTTTGACACAACTTTATCTCCTTTATCCATACCTTTGCCATAATATCATTATGGGCCAAAAACTGACAGTTAGCCGATTTCGAAGCGTGTGTACACGACTAAAGACCTATCCTGATCCAAATCAATCGACCGCTTTTTGATCTCATTTGACAATGTGTTTTCTTTTTGACGACAAATGCCACTGAATTTCACATAGTAAAAACCAGCCTTTAGATTCAACTCTTCATGCGCAATGCCAAAATATAATAAGTAGCTATTCACACCTTCTTTTTTATTAGGCTACCTGGTTAAAATTATTATTCTGCACTTTATTTGATTGGTGCAAACTGAATGAAAAATATAAGCACATATCCATATTACCCCAAAAATCAGGTTCATATAAATATTTCTGCTTCAGTTCTAATTTTTCTGAGCAGCTCTGATTTTTAAGAACTGTCATTATCTCTCTAACGGTGGTCGCCAGAAGACAAACCCTTTTATATTAATTGGAGCAACCGAACCCGGGTTCAATTGGGTGGTAGTCTCTCATCTTACCATTCGACTACAGCGGCTTTCGCAGCGATACATATGGTTTTTATAAGCTTTTTCTGTTTATTTCGAGTTGGCTTTTAGATTTCGCAAAAAAAAAAATTGATATTTTTTATTTAACAAAAATGTGTTCTATAAGTAAATATAAGTTTGAGTTCGAGGTCGGTTTGATAAGTCAGTGGATTTTTATATACCCTATGTACCAACTTCCAATGCAACACTGCTCTTGTCGACACACATCTGTTAATAGGCAAGTTTAGTAAAAATAATTTTCATCAATTGCTGCCTTGAGGTTCTTCTCGAAAATGCCTCCGTGGTTTGGCAGTTGACGAATTTTTTGCTAATATATAGATTTAACCACCAAAATATGTGACAGATGAAGAAAAACATTTTTTTTTTTTAATCAGAACTTGGGTGTCTTGAAAGCATATAGAATTAATTTAAGGAGACTAATGGATGAATATTAAACCAACTAAGACTAGAAAGCTCTTTAAACTTTCGTCGATAGAGCACAACCTAGTCTAGAAGGTAGGAATAGCATGCAATGTCTATCTAAAAGCAAATCTTTATGCTTGGATAGCTTTTTCGAGAAATGACATTTGATATTTTCTTGCTGATATTTAGTGATAGGTAAATGAGATGAAAGAAATAAAAATAGTACGCACACGGTCAATTACGATATAAAAACTTCATACATACACATGTACACAGCCAAACATATCACACGCATTTCCATGCTTGCAAGGTCATACATGGGTTATAATCAACTCGGCATTAAGGTCCTTTTCGTGAGAGCGCAATACCCGGAGTAGAAATAAAACTCTTATGATTGCATGCCAATGAAAGTATAAACGAAAGAAGTCAGCTCAGCACAAGAGATTGGAAAAAAAAACGAATATCAAAGCAATTTCGCTTGCGACAGCATCAATTTTTTGTTTGTAAGCAGTTTTTGCCACTTAGAACCAATAAGCATAAATTGTTGGCGAATATTGCACAGCACTTGGACACTCCATGGTTCATTGCAGCTCAGACACAAAATGGAAACAGTGGAAAGGATAAAGGGAAATACAGAATGGAAGGAAACATATAAAGGCACGCAGTCCATTTTCTTTCAAATAAAACAAAAGAACCAGCGGGAGAAATACAAAAGCAACGGTATAACAGGCATGAAAGGGGAGGAGGGAGAAACATCACCATTATTTCCACTTCACTAAGATTTCCCGAAGGCGTCGTCATCACAAAACTGTTACGCTTGTGGATTTCAATCTGCTGCATTATTTGGGCTAAATACTTAGTTGGCGAAGTGTGTGAGTGTATTAGAGGAGGTACAAATTATTATGAAAAGATATGATGATGACAACAATTTGTTTTTTTTTTGATAATACTACTAGTGTACTAGTAGTGTCAGAGGAAAGGCTTGCGCTTTGAAACTGTATATTGTAGTTATTAAAGTAGTAATTTTATTCGATTTCGGTAGTCACAGTAAACATATTAAATTGTTGTAAATTTTTTATACTTTTCGCAATACATTACCTGATCTGAAGTGTGCGATAATCCTTCGGTAGTGGCTTTACAAGGTAATCCAGGTCCTTGTGAAAGCGAATAAGCGTTCATCTATTTATTTGGATACACAAATTTCAAAGACCTTCGATTTTCAAGGCTATTCACTTACGATTCCACATTTATTTGCACTCAAACACTTTTCTTGCTTTCAAGCTGACTTGACATTTGGAATGCAATGCAAATTATTTGTCAGATACTTAACACTTTCCCAACTTTTCTAATTGCTTCAAAAACACTTCACTCAAACTAACGCCAGGTTAAAATATTTATTTTCTCTGCTTTCACATTTGCATTTGCATTTGCATTTGCTCTAGCTTTGTTATACCGTCGGACTTGAAAACGCACACTGAGTTGTTTTGGCACACAATTTTTTTTATTGCAAGACAGTGTTGCATTTGGCATGGAAGTCAAGCTTCAATTAATCATATAAATATGTATGTACATATGTATGTATGTAGTATATTTGGCACTTCGTATTTAATAACTCCGGCGATGATAGACTTTTATAAATCATTCAAACATTTTCAGCATCCTTCGCCTTCCACAAAAATTCTTTAACTCCCACTGGACACTTGACAATTGGGTGTTTACCGTTATGCACAGATTTCGAAATCTTCCGCTAATTGCGACCAATAGCTCCAAGAAACAAACGCGAACTGTGCAAAAGCAAATTTCATCACATCCTTTTGCCGCAACGTTGCTGATAAGCCGCTTGGGCAGTAAATTTCGGAGACTGGAAGCAATGAACAGGAATGACTAGAAAGTAAAAACAAAAATATCTGAAATAAAGAGCGAGCGACAAAGGATGCTCACCGAGGACTTTCCATATACATAGATAGCGAAAAAGGAGCACGTGAGAGAGAGAGAGAGAGATAGAGAAAAAGCTAACTCCTCGAAAAGAGCTTTTGGTTTGTTTACATTGCTCACACAACTCAAGCCGGGACTACTTTTTGTATAGCGAAAAAAATATCCTTTGTTTCCATTTTCTTTCCTTATTTTTGGACTCTTTCGTCGCTGCCATTTCCTGCTAGCACCGATTAAACGAACATAAAAATTACGTGTTGCTTTCATATGCAGATGTACATATGTATGTCGGTATGTATGTATAACTGTAAATATGTTTTGCAGGATGTGAGTCCTGTGCGCTCGCTTATTTACAACACTACCTCACGTGACTGACTTTGCAATGCGTCGCAAATAACTAACAAATACATATACATATACATACTTACATATGTATGTATGTACTTCACACTCCCTCCGCTTTGGCGTCAATTGGGTCCTCCTGCCTGCCGTCAACGTAACAAAGTGTGGCGCCCAGCCGGTGCAAAATAAATATACGAAATAGTTTTCCTTCAAAACAACATTTTTACAATAACAAATACGCTTGTTTGCATTGTCGTCATTTTTGGGTTGGTCCAGCCAGGCATTCGCATTAGGCAATTTGCATTAGGCTGTGTGAATTTTATAATTATTCAAAAAGTTCAGGACTAACAAGTGAAAGCGCCAGGGTGAGACATCTAATTAGAATTCTTAAATGCTCATTAATTCAGCTCACCCTCAATTAGGCAGTGAATGCTAAGTGAATTTTGACATGCAATAAAAATGTAGTAAAACATATTCGTACATAC